CAGGGCGGTGGCAAGGGGAAAGGTGGATGTCACCTTTTGAATTTCGCCCGAAATGTGCAGATCGTCTCCAGCTCTGGTTTAAGATATTGAATTGAAATTTATAGGGGTACAATGGGATTACGAAGTCTATTATTTAATCACAAAAACATATATACCTCCATATATACCTCCACATTACAGCGGGAGGAGAGGGAGGTCCGAAAATCTTAAATGACATGTGGGGTTGAGTGAGGGCTCATTTGACTTTCCAAGACGAGAACAACGCGGGGTCGTCAAGGTCTCTACGATTTTTCGCACTTTCTCTACTTTTTTTCGCAAAGTTATGATCTTATTTAAACATTTCTATTGAGATTTTGCGATAAAGAGGCAAGTAAAATAAAGCTTCACGCATGTTTCTAAGCAGGTAGAAGTGTATGCGTGTGTGCGTGCGTGCGTGCATGCGCGCGCGTGTGTTCGTGTTCGCCGCAGGGATAAGGACTTCATGGTTCGTCAATTCCATAGCATTAAATGATTGCATAAATTCGTGCCCGATTTAAAGATAAACTTCAATAGGTTAAATTTTAAAGAATACTGTTTTATTAATCAATTATACAGGGTGTCCCATTTTAAGTGTCCACCCCAAATATCTCTCTTATTTTTGATTTTAGAGAAAAATAGTTCAAACACGTTTTGTATGGTTTCGAGGGGGCCATAAGATGGATTGATTTGACTTTGAAGAGTCATTTGAAGGTCACGTGAAGGTTACCTCAATTTTTTTAGATGGCACCCCCTATTTTTTATTACATATTATTATAGCCAACCTCGAGAGCTTCCCAAAACATTATAATTGTGCCTCCATCGAATCAACAGAGACCCGATCACATGATCAGTTTGCCACTCTCTTCCTATGAGGCTCTCTAGGGTAAGAAAAAAGATGAAAACCCCTAAAAATTTCGAAAGATATAAGTTTTACAAAATAGTTAGCGAGATATTCTAAATATCGAAAAAGTCATCAAGTTTTCCTTAAATATCTCAAAACATATTAGGTAAATAAAAAACTGTTTTGGACAAAAGTTATTCAAATTAATTGGTAGAAAAAGATGATGTAATAAAAATTTCTGTTAAAAAAAATAACCTTGACCTGACTTTGGCAACGCCACTCAAAGTCAAACTGATAAGACCAGTAAATACATCATTTTGAGTCTTATAATTTTTTTCTGAAACACTTTTCTATAAAACTTATATTTTTCGAAATTTTTAAGAATATCCATCTTTTTCCCTCACCCTGTATATTCAGTAAATATTTTTATCCTAACTATGTAATATATGTTTTAAATATAACTATTGTAGGTAGATAAATATATATAATATATATATTTTTATCGCATTCTAAGAAGAACCCCCTCAGATATGGTATTGTAGTGTTATACAGGATGTCCGGTAATTAGCTGCCAACCCGAAGTGTGAAGGTAGATCGGGTTAAGACAAACATAAAAGTCCCATATTGTTTTGCGAGATTCGCAATAATTATCGAGTTATTAATGACAGAAATCTGAGGAGTGGGAGCGCGCCGACATAGATGATTGAAGAAGCGTTGCAGCTGCTCAGGCCAGCTAGCGCGGCCCAATTGATCCAGAAACTGTTACCTGTGCGCGGCGAGAAGAAGGACAATGCGCCGCTATTCGTTGTTCTATCTCGCCATACCTACGTCTTGCACGCCCACGCCCACGTCCACGCTCACGCACACGCACACACGCACGCGCGCGCGCGCGCACACACACACACACACACACACACACACACACACGCACACGCACACATGCGTGCGCGCACGCACATACACACGCACAAACAGAAAAGTCGTGTAAACCGACCATGCAACTTCCACGCGGTATACCTTGGGTAATGCTAATGCCGGCGGTACTGCAACGTTTAAGTCTTCTAACTCGAAAAATACCTAACGAAAAAACATATAATTATAGTGTTTTGAAAAGTCCTCGAAAAATAAGCTACAAGAACATGTAATGAAAATTAGGGGGTTCTATTTAAAAAATTTAAGATGACATTCACGTGATTTTGACAACGCTATTCAAGGTCACAATATTGCCATATAATGCGCCTTATAAAACCCTATTAACTTTGTATTATGAAACATTTTTTTTTAAATACTAATTTTGTATTATGAATAATTTTGTATTTTTTGTCTAAAATGCGTATTTTCCGAGATATTAAGGGGTTTCGATACTTTTCGCATACCTTGTATATGTGTATAGAAAGCGCAAACATGCGCGGGAAATTACAAATCCATGCACACTACGCCGAGTAAAGCCGGGATCACAAACTGTGTGTGGCATGGGCTATGTTCCGAAATTCACTGCCAGTACTGAAAATATATAGTTTGTGCTACGTATACTATAAATTTTCAGTGCTTTCAGTCAGTGAATATCGCAATGCAGCCATAATGTAAGGCTGCCCTTATGAAAAAAACCCTCAATTTTGGGTGCTAACACTAAAAAAAGCGCTTAACTTTGGATGTTAAACACCGATAAAAAACGTTCAACTTTGAATGTTATACGCCGAATAAATGCTAAATTTTGGGTGTTATACACCGAAAAACACTCAAATTGAATATGATTTCGGATTGTCAATTGAAGGTCACACCCAAATGAAGGTTAACGCTTAACAAAAACCCTTGAAAGAACACCCAAGAAAACTCTCAAAATAACACCCAAATAAAACCCTGAAAAGGAAACCCTGAAATTAAATACATCAAAATTTTGCAATACACGCAATACATACAAATGAAAACGTATGTTCGTGAAATCTTTGTTCATTTATTGTTTTCACTTAAGAACTTAAAAATAAGCCATTGATCGAATAAATAAATAGCATAAATATACTTTCATTTAATTGTATCATATTCATTTTGATGGTGTTCGTTTTCAATATAATTGTAGAGTTAACCATCAAATGTAATACTCGAATGAGGTGTAATACTCGAATGAGGATATATACCGGGTGTTTCAGATCACCAGGGTCACCTGATGTTTTCGTTAACGCGACATTTTAGAGAAAAATATTTCAGACAAAAGTTGTAGGGCTTCAAAGGATCTATTTACTAACGCTATGAATTTGACCTTAGGATAACCTTGAAAAGTCCAGTCAAGATCAACATAAAAATCTTAAATGGATTTTTTATTTACATCATCATTTTATATCATTTTATATTACATCATCTTTTTCTAGCAATTAATTTGAACAACTTTTGTCTGAAACATTTTTTTATTTACCTAATATGTTTTGAGATATTTAAGGAAAACTTGATAACTTTTTCAATATTCAACTCACGATTTCTCGCTAACTAATTGTCAGAAAAAAAAGTGGTACTAAACTTTTGTGCTCTATTTAGTCTCAAGAATATATTGTTCCAATAGCGCCCTGACTTTTGTTAACTTGCTCATTTTTGGAAATTTCAAAATTATCAAATTAACCAAATTCAGTGCACTATTGTAATTCTGTTGTTGCTGTGGGCCTTCGCTATCGCAAAATTTCAATAGAAATGTTCAAATGATCATAACTCTGCAAAAAAAATCGTAAAGACCTCGGCGACCTCGCGTTGTTTTCGTCTCAGAAAGCCCTTTCGAACGAGCCCTCACTCAACCCCACATGCCATTTAAGATTTTTTGGTTCCCTCTTCCCCTTGTCCCCCTGGGGTATGAAGGTGGGTATTTTTGTGGTTAAATAATAGACTTTGTGATCTCATTGTATCTCTATAAATTTCAATCCTACATTTCAAACCATTTAAAAATTATTTAGGCAGCCTGGAACTTTTGATAGGCACTGTATACAGGGTGTATCTAAAAGTATGTTACAATTTTTAAGGGCGTATTTTAGGGGTCAAAATAAGAAAAGAAGTTCCTATAAATGTGAGTCCAAAAATGCTTTCCTTCCGAGTTATAGCCCCCTAAAGTTGGGGGGAAAAAGATCGTCGAAATTTTGCACAGCGTAATAATTAATAGTGACTTCGATATTGACTTTGATTTTTATGTAGTTTTGACAATTTAATCCGATTTTGAGGAGAAGATATGGAGGGAAGTGCTAATTTTCAAATTGCCATACGATAAGTTACCTGTACGACCGGTTCCGAACATTCTCAATTTTTTTTTCTCCGCAATTTGTTTTTCTCGCAAACTGGTCTGACAAAGAATTTTAGGAATAGCTTCTTGAACGTTTTTTTCTCCTAAATCAAATGGTTTCACTCATTTTCCAATACGACGGAAAATAAAAGAATATGGCCATTTGAAAATTAGCATCCCCCTCCATATCCCCTCCCCTTTAAATCGGACTAAATTGTCAAAACCACATAAAAATGAAGGTCACTGTCGAGGTCACTATTAATTATTACGCTGTGCTAAAGTTCATCGATTTTTTCCCCCCGACTTTAGGGGGCTGTAACTCGGAGGGAAAATATTTTTGGACTCATGTTTATAGTACTTCTTTTCTTATTTTGACTCCTAGAATATGCTTTTAAAATCTGTAACATACTTTTAGATACACCCTGTATATATATATTTTTTTTATATTCAAAGATATATTACCAAAATAGAGATTTCAAGTTGTAAGATGCTTCTTGAATCATCTTATTATTACTTTTTATCCCAAAGTTGGATTAAAGTGGAAATAAAATTTATCTTACAGTACAGTAGTATAACTCAACGACGAATGAGTCAAGCTTTTATTTTTCAGTAACACAATTAAACAACGGTTCTGTTAGTTCTTTATTTACATTTGTTATTAAGAAATGAAAGTCCATCAAACCTAATCTTGAATATTATATTGAAAAAATAAAAATTCTTATTGGACAAATGAAGCACAATTAAGAATTCATTCTAGGGATTTTAATTTATTCCTAGACAACAAAATCTGATTGGAGTTACAAATAATAGGGTATTTTTCTAAGGAAAATCCAGTTTGCACTATTCTGAGCGATATCTATACAGTCGTGAACGATTTTTGTAGCTTTTACGAACGCGAACAGTATGTATCCCACTGACTGAGCTTTTGGCTGCACCCTCACGCCGCAAAGAAGACGTTTCATGAAATTTCTAGCGGCAAGCAGTGTCCGGCAAGATTCAAATTCGCTCATAGGAACACATAATATCGTGTTGAGTATTGCGCTGTGTAAGCATATAAGGTGCCGTTCTGCATTATCCGACTGTGAGTTTTTCTCATCGGAAGATCTCCGTATCGCCGCTCACTAATGTCAGGCATAGCGATCGCCAGGCTCGCCGAAGAGCGAAAAGCATGGAGGAAGGATCACCCGTTTGTGAGTTCCCTCTCGTCATCTTACCTTGTACAGGCAATTTACAGAAATAGATTCGTCCCGCGTTTCGCGCGTACGAATGGCGCTACAATCATGTCGCGATCTCGTGGAGGCTATGTCCCGCCATCCTGCGCTGTTTCCCGCCGATCATAAACAATGGCTCGAATGTTAGAAGCAACATTAGCTTAAACGTAATATTTTTGATTGTACATAATTCAGTAGTCTGGTATAGTCTTCTAACCCTATCTGCAGCGAAATTTTGAGCAATGTCCAATTGATATAACTTAATCACATGCGAAGTTTATGTATAAAGCTCAATTTTAAGAATTTCAAGAGAATTGCGATTATAATTATGCACTATATTTTTCGACTTATAAATGTAATATTATTATAATTCTTGTACTTTGGTAATCCCTGAATTTATCCCAGGAATACTTATAAAAAATTCTATTGTTTACAGGGTTTTGTGGCTAGACCCACCAAGAATCCAGATGGCTCTCTCAACTTGATGAGTTGGGAATGTGCAATACCTGGGAAAAAATCAGTAAGTTTGTACAAAGCAAAGTATATAAAATTGTTATGCACATTTGTATTAACTGAGTGATTGCAATTTTGTAGACTCCCTGGGAAGGTGGATTGTATAAATTACGTATGATTTTCAAAGATGATTATCCATCGAGTCCACCAAAGTGTAAGTTTGAGCCACCATTGTTCCATCCGAATGTTTATCCATCTGGTACTGTTTGTTTGTCGCTCTTGGATGAAGAGAAAGACTGGCGGCCGGCAATCACAATCAAGCAGATTCTTCTTGGTATTCAAGATTTGTTGAACGAACCAAATGTAAAAGATCCAGCCCAAGCTGAAGCTTACACAATATACTGGTATGACTTGTGTGTTTCTATGAATAGATTTACAAGAAAGATATCAATACTTGAAAAATAACCATTGGACATTTTTGTCTACAGTCAGAATCGTCTGGAATATGAAAAGCGTGTTAAAGCTCAAGCCAGAGCAATGGCTCCACAAGAATAAACATGCAAGTATTCAGTTAAAGTTGAGACATGTGGAATAGGTGTTACATGCAGATAACACTTTCCTGAGCTGGTCCATCGCTCCTCCATACAATTAATATTTTTTATGACTATAAAATTACATATGTTGTAGTTAGTTAACTTTATGCTCCTAACATTTTTTTTTATCAGATATGTACTTTCATTCATTGCGCGAATATATCTCAAAATTTCAAAGTAAAACATTCTGACAAATCAGAATATCATCACTGAGAAATTCTTTCCTGCGCATTTTTTTCGATTAATATGTTAAAACCTGTTATATATATATATATATGTGTTATAAAACAGGTAATTCAAATTTCTTTTTTTTTTCTCTTCAATCTTAATGTTCGATCTGTGAATCTTACACATACATACACACAAAGACTTTAATGTTACTTTATTAAGCGGAGACACAAGAAACAGAATCAACCTCGCGTTTGGTTTTATTAGTGTCTATCCTTGTATAAGACCTTTAATAATACATGTAGGTAAGCTTATTTAAGACTATCAAATAATGTACAAATTAAAGAAAAAGAGAATAAAAGATTCTGTCTCAGCAAGTTTCTCGCGATGTAGAAACCTCTGAAGCTTCGAGAAAGATCGCTCGTTCGAGACTCATGAAAATGTGTTCCGCTCTCGTCAATTCTATTTTCCACATCGATAAGTGTGCATCGTTGATTGATCAGACAGCAGTTTGTGCAAGTGACGTCTCACAATATCCCAATTATCGATCCCTACTATAGCGCCCATAGCACAAATGTTTATCGAAGCACACAACTTCGCATGACGTCATCATCATTAGGGTAGTGAGTTGAGATTCGACGGCTGTTCGCGCTTAACATCACTTTGGTCGAGCAGTCAGCGAACGTGCGTCGTAGCAGCAACTACCCTTCATCGATCCGTAACGTTCATTGCGGCGGCAGCTGCAATCTGTATTTACGATGCAGACCACCGCGAACCCGGCGTTAGACAAGATTAATAGGCGACTCGTGACATTGTGCGTGATCGGCCTGGCATTGTCGGTTTACATCTACATTGTGGGATACAACAAGAAACAAGACCCGTCTTACAAGGCATTATGCGACATCTCAGAAACTATCAGCTGTACCGATGTGTTAAGTTCCGAGTAAGTGAGACGGTGACCTTGAATTATGCCGGCAAAATTCTGCGCGAGTTCCGTGAGTCGTAGCGCAGGTCGACGCGTGTCGATGTTTCCACATTTGTCCGATGATTGTTACAGAGAAAGAGAAAAAAATAATTCGTGACTGCGATAATTATCTTTCGTCTTGTTTATTAAAGGTCGCTGCTCTGTTTATTTGTCGAGCTGATCGTGGCTGGTCTACAAATGTTATGGTTATTAATACTACTATTGCTATTCTTGTTATTGTCATCCTGAATTTCGAATCGGTTGGGGGATTATAAACCTGAAGTGAATCGAATGAAGCGAAGAGAAATCGAGGCTTGAATTCGATATGCTATTCATGTTTTCTCGAAGTGACACATCACTATCGCGGCATACTTGAGATAATTTTACGGAGATATCGCCTGGAATTTTTTCGATTCTTATTTCAACATGAGTGTCAAGTATGCTTTGACGATGATTGAAGACGATTATAAAATAAATTCAATTTATCCAGACGAACTTGTTTCTCATTGAATATTATGAGGTTAATTTTTAGGTAATTTTTAAGAGACATGTACATTTTTCGAGTAATCCTCACTCGCACAGCACAGATAGTTGCAGCAATGTTAGTCAAACTGTCTGTACTGTACGAGTATTGATATGAAAAAAATGTCATACATGCCCAGCAAACACAATTGTTATATAACAATTAACAAATAAAAGTGTTATATAACAATTATATTGTTGAGTAGGGAATTACAACTAACACGCACGTTACATGTAATATTGTGTTTGCTGAGATGCCAACAAGACAATTGGTTTGTTCTTTTTAGCTGTACTGCGGAACTAGTGCAATAAGTTAGAATGAGACAACTACATTTTTCCTCACTTTAACTTATTGCACCAGTTCAGTAGTGCAGCTAAAAAGAACAGACCAACTTTGTTGAGAAATAAACTCCGTCACATCTGGCTTGTATAAATACCAATATCGAACGGTTTTAAATACAAATCACATCGATGATAATCAATCGTGGAAATAACGCGAGATACGATTATAAATACATGAATATTTCAAACGTTTCAGTTGCATATCTTGATTATTTAAAGTAACTTGATATTTGTGTGACTGGTCGGATCCATGAGAACCTGTAACCTCCGGAACTTCCTATTAACTTTTACTAACTATTAGCAACATATATATGTGGTCTATATATATTAAAAAATAAACCGACAATGGCAACTTGTTGCTCAACAAATCCGATAATACATTCCGGTATACATTAGAAACGAACGTACATTTTATTCTCTTTTTTTCCTCCCTCTTCCCTTTCTTCGATGAGTCTCAGAAGACTACACCTTCCCATTGCACATTGCGTACGTTCCGAAACTCATCGAGAAAAAAGCATGTACTTTATTTTCCTTTTATATTAAGCCAGCGGCACACGGTGCTTATTTTCGTGCTGGATTGCTTGCTGGATGAAAATACTGCGTTCTGATTGGTGCATTTCCGAAGATGGATGGAATCAGAACGCATTTTCATCCAGCAAGCAGTCCAGCACGAAAACAAGCACCGTGTGCCGCTGGCTTTATATTCGTGATGTGTGCGGTTGTCCGTCAGATGGTCGCGTCGCTGAATTGACGAAACGCCACAAAAGGTCTGTTCTTTTTAGCTGAATTATATATAATGCTACACTGAACTCTGTTTCTTTTCCATTCAACGCAAGTTTATGTACTTATTTCGTTCTAGCGGCAAAATGTCAAAAAGCCTATTCTACATTAATCACAAGTCGCCAGGTTACGAGCAAATTGACCAATTACGGTCGATTATTTTTCGATCACTAAGAGAATAATCAACTGTGATTGGTCAATTTGCTTATAACCTTGCGACTTGCTAATGTAGAATGGACTTAACCTAAAGCCCATTTTACATTAGTCATCAATCGCACGGTCGCAAGCAAATTGACCAATCATAATCGAATATTCTCCTTACAAGCAAAGAATAATCAACTGTGGTTAGTTAATTTGCTTGCGGCTTTGCGACGTGCGACTAATATAGAATAAACTTAACTCAGCTAAAAAGAAAAAATCAGAAAAGAGAACAAACCTAATTTCAGCCATACCATACATGGTAGGTCTGTTCTTTTTGATTGAATCATAAGTATGTTCCTTTTAGCTGAACCAATGCTATATTGAAATTTTATTTCTTCTCCAGTGCAAATTTTTATATTTATTTCACTCTACCGGCAAGAAATGCAACTTACTTTAGCTAAAAAAAAAATAAATCTCACCTTGTATCTTTCACCTTTAAAGTAGAACAGATATACGACATAAGATCTGTTGTTTTTAGTCGAACTATTGCTTTAGAAGAAACTTTATTCTTTTCCCTTTCCCGAAAGAAAATAATTATGTAACTCGGTTACATAATTATTTCACTCTAAGGACAACAAGTGCAATCTAAAGCCATCGGCATACGATATGTTTTTTCTTGAACTTAATCGGATTGCTAACTGGATTTACATATTTGCTGTCGTGAAAGTAGTAGTGTTGGTAATACCATGTTGCTGGCTTAGATTCACAATGTGAACTTCTGCACTGGCACAATTCTGCTTGGAAGATATTGAATAAATAAACATGGAACAGGTCGTTGTTACTGCGATTCATCGTGTGAAAAATGTATTTGCATTATTTTTTATTATCGAATGGCGGTATGATGCTGCAGAGAGGGGAAACGGTGAAATTATGTTGAAATAAATCTGTGATTTTAGAAAATTCGATGGGACCGTAATTTTTCAATGGCCGTAATATTATAGATTAAAGATAAATGTGGAAATTACCACAAATTGGTTATAAATATTTCGCGATATAATTCTGCTGTTATGTATAATTTTACTTCTTGTGTTTCTTTTCCCTTGAAAAACAATTTTAAAGTGAAAAACATATCTTGGCCATCGAAGATAATTTGAGGCAATGTTCTTATTGGCTTTGACAATGAGCCAGCACAGAACCACGTAAGAAATCTAGGACCGGATCTAGTACGAAAATTCGGCAGAGTAGCCAATAGGATAGCCAATACAGAAGCACGCGAGCGGAATGGAAAAAAATGTATCGTGTGCCAATAGCTTAATTAAGTGAAAAATTTCTAGCATCAAAAGGAAGGATATTCCAACGTGACATTAGGTATTTTGTAATACTGTCTCTCAGATACAGAAAAAGTAAAATCGTGAACGTTATTCGTTCAGAAATAACGTCGCAATGTATGCGACCAATAGCATTGGCTGCGTTCAGACAACACAACGGTTACACAACGGTTGAGTAATTCGTCAACGTTATTGGTCTAAATGTAAGGATCTAACAGTAAGGACCAATAGTTACTAAGCGCTCAGTGAGCGCTTTGTTTTCTGAACGCAACCAATCACGACTTACGTTTACCGTATCTGAGAGACGGTATTGCCAAAAACTCCCCAATAGTTCAGGTAAAAAGGACAGGCCACGTGATCGTCAACATGCGATATTTAAAAGAGCACACAACGAGAGATTCATTACGAATTAAATAAGACGGAAAATGACGTGAACGGAAGATCGCTCGGAAAATCAACGATCTTAGAAACAATCGTGAAAATGTCAAACGAACATCAAGGCGATAAAGACAATGTCTTGTTTCAGGTACAGTAAAGGATTCGGAATCATTCCAAAGAGCTGTTTCCTCCGACTGTACGAAGTCCCAAATTTCGTATTCGGCATAATATTCTTCACTGTGACATTAATTATATGTACGTATTCGATTATTGATCCTCCTCCTTCCCCCTCCCTCTCCCCTTCCCGCGTGCGGATGTTTCAAACATACGGATTAATTTATAATTGTTTCTTTTCAGCTTTGAAGAATAGCTACGCCTCTTCCGTGGCTCTCCTCGTTCTTGGAATAATTTCTATCCTCAGCTCGGTGTATCTGGCTTTTATATTATATAAATTGGAAAAGATATGCATAGTGTGCGTAAGTACATACGTTGTGTGTACGTTGCTGATGTATCACAGCCTGAAGAAGTTCCGGATAGTGTCCGCCAATATGGCGCATCAGCAGAAAACGAAGTGAACGCGGCAGGTTCGATTACGTTCGACTTTCACGATCGAGCTAAACAAATTACTTTTTACCATTTTATACTTTTATTCGCGAGAAGATTTCCATGCGCTGACGCATTGAAAAATGTGTGTATGTATATATACATATAATTTTTTTTAGTGTCACGGGTAAATAACAAAATACGATACAGAGATGTAATTTAATCATGTTATCACGGACTAACATAACGAGAACATAAATAATAACGTCACATCCAAACTGGAGGATCTGGGTGTTCATTCACTTGTTCTCTTTAGCGATTACGTTGTCGCATATACAGGGTGTCTCAAGTGCTCAATATTTCTCCTCATGATCGCTTCCGCGATCGTGATCGACTATCGCGTCCAATGAAAAGGACAAGCTCGGCTTGTTCAAATTACTTGACGAATATTCCGATGACGGGAAATACGACGGACACGAGACACCGTGCGCGTTATGCGACCAAATGAGAGACGATCTGATCTTCCCTGTCACGAAGACCAATGACCTACCGATGACCGACGAGTACCACGTCCGTCCGAGGGTGTACGCCTACTAAAACGCAAATAACGCACGTAAGACATATCCCAAAGACGAAGAGGACAGAAAGAGAAACGTTCACTCATTTATGCTAAATCAGACGGGTAGCTTCTCTCTTTTGCACACACTTATAAACCGCTCGCAGTACTTGAAGCAGGAAGTGGGCTCGGCGTGCATACGTCCTCAGAGGAGAACGAAGGACGCGCTTCGCCGTCTCCGAGGCGCTCCGGGTCCACCCACGAGTCAGTATTTACCGTCTCTTAGGAGATCCCTGTTGCTGCGACTAATGCTGGCGAGGATGCCTGGACTCTTGAGCGGCGGTGTCTCGTTCAAGCGGTTGAGGTGGAGATTGGAGGTGTACGGGGCCCGCGCCGGCGGCGTCGCCTCCACGCCGTTCTTGTCGGCCTCGACGTTGAAACTCTTGCTACGCGATAACGAAGAGCGATATATCCGCTCGGGTTTCGGGGGCGCTTGGAGGGTGCTGTACGCGGCGACCTTGGGCGACGACGTGACCGTGTTCTTGATTGATATGTTGATCATGCTGCCGTGCTGGCCGGCCTTACCAGGCGTGCCGTGCCTACTGATGTTCGCGTGGTGCTGGTGGTCGCGTCGCCTGCTCGTCGTCGTCGTGCAAGTTGCGGTGGTCGTCTGTGAGCGAACCGACTGCCCGGAGTGCAGATTCCGCGGCAAGGTCTGCGTGGACCGGAAGTGCTCCTCTCTCTCGTGATCGCCGGCCGCCAGTTTGCCAGTGGACTTGCTAAACCTGCCGAGCGAGCTGGAGGTAACGCTGAAACGCGGTGGTTTCCGAAAGGTGATTCCGAGGGCGTGGATCGTTCTCTCGTCGATCGTATGTTGTGGACCGAGTGAGAGTCTAGCGCCGTGTGTATGTACATATATGTTTGCACAAAATTGTGTTTTTCACATGCGTTCCTTCACATGCAGCGCCCAAAAGCCGTCGAAGCGCGCACGGACCTTGCTGAGATGCGAGACTTGAGGAAAGGAGAGAAAGAGGAAGAGAGAGAGAGAGAGAGAGAGAGAGAGAGAGAGAGAGAGAGAGAGAGAGAGAGAGAGAGAGAGAGAGAGAGAGAGAGAGAGAGAGAGAGAGAGAGAGAGAGAGAGAGAGAGAGAGAGAGAGAGAGAGATCAAGCGGTCCAGATCTAGATGTTCATACCTCGGCTCTTGAAGTTCGAGCCACCCGGCTATTCCGCTTTTGAGCGACCGAGCGATGTGTCACGACGTGACATGGCATGGACTTGTCGCCTGCTTATGACGGATTTTTCTGCACGTCGAGAGACGAATTTTCACCGACAACGCGAAAGCGCGCCAAGTACATGTATATTTATAACAAGACGCGCTGTGTCATCCTTGACGAGTGTCGTTTCATGCACATGTAACGTAGGTACAGATGTTCATACAACAGAGTGTCTGCTGATCCCGAGTTAGGTCTCTCGGACTTTCACTTGTCACTTGCTTCTCGACTGATCATGCGTTGTTTTTACTCTTGCCGAGAGCCGACTCGGAGAATTTTGTTCTCGAGGTAGAGTCGTAATTTGTGAAATCAATTGAGACAGAGACAGAGACAGAGACAGAGACAGAGACAGAGAGAGAGAGAGAGAGAGAGAGAGAGAGAGAGAGCGGGGGTGAGGGGGGGGAATCAAATATGCCGTTCGCAATGTCTTATACCTGAATCCTACGAACAACACTCGAACTCTGAACAAACTCTGAACAAGCATTTCTAGACATCGGAATATGTCAAGCACTAGTCGGAAAGAATCTTAGACGAGGGGGACAAAGCGGACGGGAGGAAAATCTATCTACGGTGTCGGTCGCGAAGCGACGGAAAAGCGACTGGATCTCGAGGTGGAGCGCGAGCTCGTCGGCGTTGCTCTCGTCACAACTGCTACACGTCGTGTATCGTGTGCTGTGATTACCTGTGCTCAGGATCTATGGCAATTTTACGCAGTCTAAAGTGTCGCCGGTCTCTGCCATCCTCGTATCCTTTCTCGCGGCCGTAGATGCTGCCGCCGAAGGGGTCCTCGCCCAGGTAGTACCTCTGCAACGGTGGCGTGGACTCGCTACGTTGCCATTGTTCTTGAACCACCGCGTGATCGGTCGCCCTGACGGTCTTGCCGGCTTGCTTGTTGCTACCTGACGCCCCGGCGTTGCGCGGCGGCCTTTCCGGCGGCTTTTCCTCCGCCATGTCCTTTTCGCTCACGAGAGGTATGTTCCGGTCGATCACGTTGTACTGCATGTACGTCGGCCCGTTGTCGTCGGTCTGCGTCAACTGCGAGGTCGAGCCGCTGCTCGCGCGCTTGTTCTTCCTCTCTACGCTGGCCGAGCGCAGCTTGCCCACCAGCTTGCGGAAAGACTCGCCGATCTTGTACTTGGAGTAACCGCTACCTGGAGGATGGAGGATTCTCTTCAGATTCGCTCGGAGACTCGCGGTTTTGCCTTCGCAGCGGCAAAACTCGGTTTCGTTCAATGATCGAACGGTTAACCCTTTGAAGCATAGCAGGGCTCTGGAGTCCCTTTTTTATTTCATTTTTTTTTATTACCTTTCTCAGATATAAAAAAACTCGATTTTCTTGCTGTTTTTGTGTTTTCATTCGAATATTATATTATCAAGTACATTATAATATTCATGTCGTAATTTTCATAAATTGTTTATGAAATTGTTTATATAAATAGTTAAAAACATACAAAAAAACAGTGTTTTTGTACAAAACATTCGTGTCAGAGAGAACAATTATAACTATGTGGATGACAATTGATATCCTGAGGTTTTCGAGGTCGCCGGATTACGAATCCGGGGTCAGAATTTCGAAATCCAATATGGTGAATAAAAATGTCCAAAATCCTTCGATTTCGACAAAAATAGGTACATGGAGGTTTCTTGCGTCGCTGATCACGAATTTATAACCAGATTTCCGAAATTAAAATCCATAATACATATCAAAGTTAGCCATTTGAAGTCGCCATTTGAATTTTAACGTTTTGACTCCAGATTCGTAATCAGCGACCTAGAAAACCCCTATATACATAATCAGTTTCTTTTATTATCGCATAGGAAAATTCGTGCTTCAAAGGGTTAAACGTAATTGCTTCTACTTCGGTTTAATCGCGAAGAAAGAGACTCACTCTTCGACACTCGCGGAACGCTCGAAGTGCTCAGCTTCTTCTCGTCGCGACTAATCGGCGGTGGTGGCGACTTTGGCGAGATCGATCGCGATCGCGGCGAGTTGTCTTTGTGGTTGTCGCACTCGGGGCTTTGGCCTCCTACGTCGCGGCTCCGGCTCTCCCACGTTCTCTGCACCACGTGCACCGGGCTAGCGGTGCGACGCTCGGCCGGCGGCTCGTTCAGGCTGATCTTCTCCTCGGATTTCGCCCACTGCGAGGAATCGTGTCGTTAATTCGATAACACACCGATGGAGGACTTTCCAGATTTGTGGCAACGTAACGTGTGTTAACTCTTTGCGGACGAATGTCGCGGTAAATAAATGAAAGACGCTAATGCGAGGTTTAAGGAGGGAATTACATGCGGAGCAGGCCGTTTTCAAGGCTATTTTTACGAATTTTTTTAACAGAAATGATCAATGAACTTGAAATTTTCACAGTGTATTCGTTAATGTTCAAAGTATAAAATAAATTTGTTACTATCTATATGGAAAGTACACATAAAACTTTAAACGCGTTTATCTGGAAACATCATTTTCTTAAACTGTCAACACGATTACGCAAAAGCTACCGAACCGAATAACTTGAAATTTTTACACAATATACAGTAGACATGTAAAATTTTCGCTCCTATCTCAAACACAGTTATGTTTTATTTTATTAATTTTTTTAAACATGATTACAAGTTGAAAAAAAGTTTCATTTTCGATACTTTTTTTTGTACAGTCATTATTTTTCCAAACTTGGCTTCCCTACCTTCATTTTGGTACGAGCTATAATGGCAACCGCATACTTTAAAAATCTTTCTCAGTTTTTGGTTTCAGAGTCCCGGTGAGAGAGTGAGAGGCTCAGAATTATGTCGGCAGCAAACATAGAGCTCGCAAACGGATGACCGTATTTTTATGTATAACTACAAATTGGATCGGTTCTTGTGATTCAATAAAATTTATTTTATACTTTAAACATTAATAAATACACTGCGAAAATTTCGAATTCACTGATCCTACCATTTCTGTTAAAAAAATTCATAAAAATAGCCTTGTGAAGGGCCATCTGCATGTAAAATTCCCCCCTTAATGTATAATCTTGTTTTGTATAGAAAATATGCTCGATGCTGCTGGAACTCAGAGAGAGTTCTCGTGCGCAAAGGATTAATGTTAACGGTCTTATTGATACCATACGAGGACACACACGTACTTGCTCCTTCGATCTCCGACGCATCGGTGGCGAAGGCGTGCACTGCCGCTCCTCGACGGGCTCCTGGTACTCGCGCCGGAATGTTTCGTAAGTTTTCGCGTACGAGGACTCAACTTGATTTCTCTTGTGCCCATGGGTATGTCCGTTTGCACGGGGGAACTCTGCATACCGCGCCGGAGAGCTCGATCGTGCGTGATTCTGCTTTTCTGTATAACATACACTCATGTCGCATTCGCGTTATCTTATAAGAACACACGCCCTTGCGCAATGTAATATCAAAGTTCAGCTACGATGTAAAAACCGGCGGCATTTACGTGCCGAGCTGACGTAACGTCACGCAGGAAATTCCGCGATTTCATTTCTCACCGCGTAAGGATATAAATTTGTATGATTGGTGTCGCACGCATTTTGCACACATGTGCACGCGGTTTTCTTCGTACTGACGCTCGTGATGAGATTAACTTTTGTGAGTGACAAGGTTATTATTTTCCGCACCTCTTCCTTGGTACCGTTCCGACCACTCGCTGATCCCATGAAAATATCCCGACGGCGACTCGGAGTCTCGGCCGGTGGCACGTCGTTGATGGCGGCTGGAACTTACATTCTGGTACTCCCGTTCCTTGGGCGCGCAGGACTTCATGGTGACATTGATGTAGCTCGTATTCGTGCTAGCTGGAAGAGGCGAGTCGTCGGCGTCGACAGACCCGTGGGAGGAACGCGAGTCGCTGCCGAAGTGGCTCTCCAGCCATTTGGACGTTTCGAATTTTCTCGCTTCGTCCTCCTCCTCCAGGTCCAATGGCTTCTTCGTCAGGGCATCTTTCCGGGCGGCGGATGTACTATCCGGAAAACCTGTAAAATCATTTGCGGCGTTTTTTCCTATTTTCAGATAGAAGATTAAAGATTAAAGATTACACTTCGACATGCCTTCAAACCCTGGAGAAGTCTCGTCAAATGTATAGTATTTTTTATCGGAGACTATGCAATGGTCTTCTCAAATTGAAAGGGCATCTCATCGGAATGATTATTAAATATGATTTTATATTTCACCGCCGTCGTGGAGGATCATAATGGAACCGACCACTGCATGGTTAACTATTCGTGAACATGTGGAACGCGATGGTAGAAAATTGATGGAGAAAGGCAGAAAGGCAAAGACGATTACCGGGATATTTGTGAAGACGAGTCGTCCGCATGCCCGTCGATGATGGTGACCAGTCGCCTACTCGTTCTCCTTCGGTTGTCTCTGCGACGTAGCGCATTTCTCGGCCGACTCTCTCGCCGGCCGAGATGTAGTCCACCACGTCTTCTTCTCTCTTCTTGACGTACCTCTGGGAGCTCTCCTTCTTCGTCTCGGAGGCCTCGTCGTCGTTCAGCCCGTCGTCCGGGACCTCGTCGTCGTTAATCTAAGACAAAAACGATTGTGTCTGTATGTGTGTGTGTGTGTGACTTTTGTTATTAATATTATTATCGATACAATCTTTAGACGTACGCATATTAGCAGTAAATATTATTATGAATTATTAGTTAGTGCTGATTGATTAGTACTGACAATGTCATTGTCTTTATCGATTGAGGCAGCTGTGATACATCGCTTGAGGATTTTTAACAACCTCAACAAGCAACAAAGACGAAGTGAAGTAAATACGAGAGAAGACGAGAGGCAAGAAAGTGGGAGAGCGCGTTGATGAGTTTCTGCTTTTTCCACGACTTACCTCTTCGTGCTCGACCGTGCGCTTCTTCTCGGTAACGATTAGCCCGTCAGCCTTCAGTTCCTTTTTCTCCAAGGTCTTCTCCGTGTCGATGACCTTGTTTGACCTAGTCGTGTGCTGAATGACCCGCGGACCGGACTGCGGCGCCAACTGTTTCGAGGATTCTGCAAGAGCGACTCGTAAGTCGCCTCTGTTGCTGCGCACCGCCTTCTGGTATGCCTGCAAACCAGACGCGACCGCATTAACCCCGTCGCGGCGTTACGACCAGTTGCCATATATCCGAAAATCTCCTCCCCTCTTGCGATATACATATACGTGCACGCGTGTACAAATATATTCCGAAATCTCGTCTCGAGATAAACCGGCCGGTCCGGCTCTGCCTGTTTTCTTCTTTCCTCCGCAAAAATGCATTGCTTTCGGGCAAGGATGCGGCTGAGGAAGAGCGGCTGCTCGAACAAGAGGCAAGTGCGCAATTGTGTACAAACATGCTCGGGTCAAGGTGTGAACCAGTCGCAAAATAATCGCTCGCGATCTCTATGGCGATCTCGTGACCCAATTGAGACCGAAGTTTGACCAAACACGCCGCTCGCGCATTGAGAGCCGTTGGGAATCGCTGGACGATCAATGAATCCCTGGATGATCTATAGATTCATTCAATGATCATTGAATGATCTGTAAATTTACAGATGGGATCGAAGAGGGAATTCTATCAACAAGGAGACGATCAAAGGATCGAAGTCGCATCTCTAAGTCTCAGGATGACCTCCGTGTTACGCGGCGCATGAGATCATGAGTGGAGTCCTGCGGAATTATTGCAACTCGTGGCTCATCAAGAGAGCGGGATCCTTGAGAGAGAGAGAGAGAGAGAGAGAGAGCGCGCGCAAGGCGTTTCTCCGACTGGTCGGGCGAACGAGCTAAAAATCGAGTCGGCAGCGAGCGCCGGTTACGATGACACGACACGATTCCTCTGACCTCCGCTGCGAGGACGAGGACGAGGATGACGAGCATGACGAGTAGTCGCGATATACGAGTCTGGATACGTATACACCGGAAGAAAAGGGAAAAGAAAAAGAGGGGAAGGTTTCACTGTGTGTATGTGTGTGCGTGTGTGCGCGCGCGCGCGCGCGCGTGTGTGTGTGTGTGTATGTGTGACACTGCTCCCAATTGAACCTCGCGCGTGTTTCCGATCAGGTCGCTGCGGCGGCGCGTCGCGCACTCCAGAACGACTCCGCGACTTCGACACGTGGCTGTTTCTATGAACAATTATATCATTTCGTCCTGGAGAGAGAAGAGTGCGAGAGCCAGAGAGGGAAGAAGGAGAGCAAAGAAACGTCGATAGTCCGCCCAATGTGCCGGAGTCTTGCGATTGAGCAAGGCATATTTTTCCGCCCGGTTATCTCGACATCTCGCGCGCATGCGAGGACGACTGGTTCAGTGCGACGACGACGACGACGACGACGACGACGACGACGACGACGACGATGACGACGACGACGACGACGACGATGACGACGACGACGACGACGACGACGACGACGACGAAGACGAAGACGAAGACGAAGACGAAGACAACTTTCGAGGTGGCGCGTTGGCGGGTACCACGAAAAGGACGAAGACGTCGATCCTGTGGAGAATGAGGACTGCGGGGACGCCGGCGATTCCGCCGTCGTGAACGAGCACGGGACACTATCGCGGCTGAATTGCTGGCCGATCGCGCTCGGGCGAGACGCGCGGAACAGCTGCTGAGACTGCGGCCACAGTCAGCATCTCGGCTCCTTCATCGCCATTGGGTGAAGGGAGAGCAAAATCGAGAGATCATCGACTTCCACTTCTTGAGATCCCTTTCCCTCTCTCCCTCTCTCTCTCTCTCTCTCTCTCTCTCTCTCTCTCTATCTTTCTCTCTTGTCCTCTTTCTCTTTCTCTTGCTTTTCAACGTGCTCTTTCTCTCGCTCTCTCAAGATAAAGACAAAGAGAGAGAGAGAGAGAGAGAGGGAGAGAGAGAGAGAAAGAGAGAGAGAGATCTCCCTCGCTCTCGTTCAATCTCGTATACTCTCCCACTTGCTGGCATCGTTCGCTGTTTAACTCCGTCCTTCCCTGATCTTCTTCTTCGTCCAGAACGATTCGACCTCTTCTTCGTCCTAAAACGTTTGCATTCGCGCACAGGAATCTCTCTCTCTCTCTCTCTCTCTCTCTCTCTCTCTCTCTCTCTCTCTCTCTCTCTCTGCCATCTATACCTGTTGCCGGGTCTTTCGCAATCCGGGTGCTCCTCTCCCGCATCCCAGCGAGGTTTGTGAAACCTTCCGAGCCGCGACTCCGTGGATCGCGTGGATGCGATTGCATGCCGCATAGATCGATCTGTCCGTCCGTTCATCTCTGCGCTACGCGCTACGCGCGCGCACCGATGTGTCGTCGGTGCCACGGTCGGCGAGGTAACTGGTTTGCGCGTTTGCGATCTTGCCATTGTCATTCCAGATAACGCAAACGTCAAGCCAAGCGGTCTTAATTTATAGCTCGCGACCGAACTCGCGAGCTGCGCCGCGAGATAAACGCGCGACGGCGGAATAATCGTCACGAGTTATATTTAGATACGTCAGATCGGGCCGCCCTTTCGCGGAGGAAGAATACGCGCATCGCGTCGCGTCGCGTCGCGTCGCGTCGCGTCGTGTCGCGTAGCGAGCTGAATACGAGACCTCCGTTCTCGCCGACCTCCGTCGAGAACCGAAGCCGCGTCGGATCTTCACGCGGAAGAATCGCAGAGTATATTCTGTGGTCGCGTTGCAATTACACGCACATATCCCGCGCTCGTTCGTTAACTACAAAGTCACGGTTTCTCTCCGGCGAAAGAGCAATTTTAACCTCGTAGATATATATTCGTTTCAGTATACTTCGTGTCTCGTTTGCCTCTGCCTTTTTTTTTTCAAGCTTCGCGACTCGTTTCGTAACGAAGGCAGGGGGCAGGTGGGAGAAGCCAGCGACGTGCGGGCTCCGTGAGTCTCATCTCGTGCTGCGGAATACGTCTTCACCAACAACACACAAGCGCTCGCGCTCGATGGTATCGGATGGATCAAACGGGTCTTAACAACAAACAACAAACAGCGCGACCTTTTCGCGCGGCGCTCGCTCGCGCTGCCGGGAAAGAGAATGCGCATACACCCCGTATTCCCTGCGGCACGCGCAGGTGGAATTCAGGTGTGGGTGTGTCGCGTGCATATACCTCGTCCGAGATATCTCCCAACTGTTGACGATCCTCCGTCTCGAGCCTCTCCTCGATCTCCTCGCGGCTCCTCACCACCGTCTCGTTCAGCTCCTTTTGCACGATGTTGCCGCCATTTCCGGTCGCAATACCACCTGCCGCCGGCCAGTCGACCTCCTGCGGCTGATCCCCGGTCGTGCGTCTCTAAACACCGGTCGCGAAACGTTAAAAACACGTTTGCGTACGTGCGCGTGATGCTACAAAGGAAGCCGAGCTCCATTCCAATATGCAGATGCATCTGCATCTGCGTTCGCGGCGAGATCAACGTGCATCGTCAGAGAGAGAGAGAGAGAGAGAGGGAGAGAGAGAGAGAGAGAGAGAGAGAGAGAGAGAGAGAGAGGGAGGGAGGGAGGGAGGGAGAGAGAGAGAGAGAGAGAGGCGGCAGGAAGAAGCTCTCGCGGTCGGCTCGTTCCCGCGAAAATCATCACGAGCCACGAGCAAGAAAGCGAAAGGCTCCGTGATGTAAGGTCGAATTGAGGAATAAAAAGCCTATTAGAGTTAAAGGCTCCTCAGAGGCCTGTCGTCTTACGACCGGCACAGTTTGAATCTTATTGACTACTATGAGAAATAGGTGCCATTAGGAAGAAGAAGATAAAACTGAAGGATGTAAAAAGTGAGGAACAAGATTCCCCTCTTCTCGCCTTGTATTTCTTTTGATCTTGTAGGCAAGAAAGAGAGACGGAATGTGTGACGATTCACGTTGGCGTAGCCGAAATTCATTCGACTTTCATTAGGCTTCCTCCGAGTCTACCGAATCGCATCTAACCAAACCGGACTCTTGTAAACCGTACCTCCTGCGTTGTATGCTCCTGCTGTTCAACATCCTCGGTCGTGTTCGTGGTGACGAGAGGCCCGGAGTCCACAACGACCTCGCCGTCCTCGAGGACGACCTGCCGCTTCACCCTGGTCTCGATCTGCCGGGTGGTGGTGATCTCCTTCTTCTTGCGAGTCTCCCATTCCTCTGCAAGCCGGAAACGGGCGTCTTTTGTCAAAGGCCGGCTCGTGTCAGCGTGTTGCGCAAATGGCAATTTCTCGGTGCCGAACAGGGACGGACGTGAAACGCGGCTGCTGACGATACGAGTCGACACGGCGGGGCCGGGGAGAGCCGCGCCTTTTGTGCCTCTTCGTTTCGCGCAACGACGCGTCGTCGTTGTCAACTAAGTATCGAGTCCGCGTCAAATGAGCGCGAAACAATGCAGCCACGCACCGAGCGAACGCTTATCTCCGCGATCGCGCTGCCGGAGAAAGCAAACGGCTACGGTAAGAAGGAAGGACGAGGAGAAAGACGGTCTGTTTGCGTAGCCGGGATATTCTTCCATCCGCGGGACTGATGCGTTATCTAAGCGAGGGGAAAAAACGCGGGACACTCGCGCAACCCGGAAAATATGTGGCCGCTTGAATACAAACTGAACGACTCCGCCAACTCACTCGGCTGCATTCGGCGCGAACCGAACACGCGATCGCGGCTTAAAGTCCGGCTAAAAACCACGACGAGATAAGGGAGATGTGTATCCCGAGCGACTTCGCGCCGAGCGGCAGCATCCCCTTGATTCCTAACCCTTTCATTACGAGCGCTGGATATATACGACATCTACGAAACGACCTGTGTGTACGAGAGCCGTCTATAGTGTTTGTACATACGTACTCGTACAAAAGCGTGTCAAGGCGGCATTGTTCGGACGTAAACCGTAAACGAACGCCGAAGACTGGCTACGCGCAATGTGTACACTTTTGGCGTGGGGTTCCGTTCAGTGGCGGCACTCCGGCGGAGCGGATTGCCGTAGCGAAAGGGTTAATCTCCTCGCTATCCGGCAAACGTCTGACACGGGGAGGATACCCGGTAGTTCCTTCGGCGGCTTTCTTCCGGCGGCTTATTCTGACAAGGAAACGGTCGGTTCCTCACCGATTTTCATGGACTTTGGATATGTTGTAGAGCAATAAAAACTATTTGACACGTATCTTTTTTTATGTGCGTATCTCAAGGTTTCGAGGGGTGAAACAACCTCTCGAGAAAAACTAACATTTTCATTTTTTGCGAATATCTTCTAAAGTACGGGATATATGAAAAAATGTTTCCAATAAAAAAGTGTAATTTATGTAATAAAAAGTTGGGATTTCCATTTAAGAAAATTGATGTTCAGTGAATATCTCGAGAGTGACGCCATCTGTAGACAAAATGCTATCGCTGTCTTATGTCCCCCTTCAAACCAGACAACTTTTGTTTGAACAATTTTTTTGTTTCTTTAGTTTTCTAAGAAATAATTAAGCGTACCCACTTAAATCAAACATACTATATATGCAGTATACTGTATATACGTTCATTTATCTAACATCTTTATTTCATGTTCACTTCATCAATAAATTGCATGTTGTGTCATTAAGATTAATTTTCTTGCATTTTGCAGTATGAGGAAATATGCATAAGAAACAATTATTGAGTACAGCGCAACTGAAAAGAAATAACACAACATCTAACTACAGCGCGGCAGCCTATAGCACGATATCATCCCGTTTTTCTAAAAATTAATCACGACCATATTGTATTATTATACATGGATGGATTCGGCATCAAATGCTCCTCAATTTTTGTCCTCGTGAAATTTTTAAATTTTGTAAAATTAAAGGGATAGGTGGAGGGGACGAGGTTGAAAATTTTGACACTTTTGAAAAATCTGAATGTACCGTTGCAAACAGTATAAAGTACTGTAAAACTTTTGTAGGAAACATTTTTTCATATACCTCGTACTTTAGAAGATATTTGCAAACAATGAAAATGTTTGTTTCTTTCGAAGGGTTGTTTCACCTCCTAAACCTTGAGATACGCATACAAAAAAAAAATACCTGTCTAATAGTTTTTGTTGCTCCACGACATATCCAAAGCCCATCAAAATCGATGAAGGACAGTTTCGACCGTTTCCTTGTGAGTTATGTCGGCGTGTCAGCAGCGGCGGCGGCGGCGGCGCATGCTCCTAATAAATTATCGGTTTACACGCGTGCGACGGCACGGCGCGCGGATTAACATTACCTCTCCTCCGAAGGAATTTACCTTCTTTGATTAATGCCACGGAGTTCTCAGGGTCAACCTGAAAAAGGAAACAATACGCGTATAAATCCTCGCCCACGAGCGAGCGCATCGCCGCCGGCGGCGACGCGGCGGCGGGAATGAGGAGCGATTCCGTTCGGCACTGAGGAGGACACTCCCGAGGGGAAAGAGCGTTACGTAGCGCGCGCGAGGAGCCACGTTCAACCGCAAATAACTTCGCTGTAACCGCTTTCTTACTCCGCGTTACACGCGACTAAACTCCTGACCGACATCACCCGGCCGGCGGATTCCGATCCCGGGATCGGGACGTTAACGCGAGGTGAGAGCGCGAGGCGGCACGAGAGAGTCAGAGAGAGAGAGAGAGAGAGAGAGAGAGAGAGAGAGGAGAGAGAATAAACACGTATTCGTCCGACGCGATTATTCGTAAATTACTCGCGATCGATCGCGAATAACCAGTTGAGTGGAAAATCACACTCAGGCGAAAATCGCGATCAAGCGTGTCTCGAAAACGGAGAGAGTTTGCGGAAAGGAGTGCCGTCGGCCGAACGAAGAATTCGTTCTCCAAACGGCGAATTTTTTCGTCCGATCGAGCGTTTCTCGATTGCATCTTTCAGTGGACGCGACGACGTCTCTCGCACGGCGAAATGCCGCACGTCGTTGAATATTATCTCCGAAGCGCGTCTCGCTGCTTTCCCGCAAGTCGAGTTTTCCGAGGCCGCCGCGGGACGCGATTCAACGCGAGCCCCGAAGAGATAAACGCGCGAAACCTGAGGAAATGCATTCGCGCGGCCAGAGAAAACGTGCTACTCACGAGAATGGAGGAGTGGGTGTTCGCTGGTGGACGGGCCTCGTATCGGCGTGTCGAAATCACCTCCATCATTCGATCATGTCTACTGCGAAGTCCTAGTATTTCCGCCGGGTCGCTGCGAGGAGGAATTCAGCCGACGGAGCGGGCGAACGTCGGCTTCAATAATTGGATCTGTGCATAAATATTATTACATATAACTCATCGCCCATAATTGTGCAACACGCAATTACGCTTGATTACATGCAATTTATAATTAATTGCGATCAATGCAACAGAGCGTTGTGTATATACTTCGAAATTTCCAGTTTCACAAATCTTTATATTATAATGATAATAATAATAATAATAATTTACAGTATTATATGTGGAACGAATACGAATTTACAAAAAAGAGAGAGGGGGAGTCATTGGAACCGATTTGAACTCCTTCAGCTGGCAAATCGCGTCGCGACTCGACTTCCGCGGAAACGACGCATCGCGGACTGCACTTTGCGAGAAAACGCCGACCTAACGTTCGTCGTCATTTGACGCCTCGAGCGATATCCACGATCCGATGCCGCATATAAGATCATCCAAAGATCATCTAAAGTCCATCTTAAGTCCATCTTGCGACGGCCGTTTCGCTGGCTGCGTGCTTGAAAGGAACTTACGGCTGTCTTAACGGGCTACATACACTTTGGGGAGTTATTAAATTGATTTTTCAATTTTTATATTTTTTGGATCTTTGATGTGTTTCTAGAATATTTCCCTAAAGTTTCAATTAAAAATACTTTGAAATGACGGAGATACAACCGTTTTTGTGTAAGTGCGCAACGCGCGCGTTCGTACGCTTTTCTGTGGCAGCTACGAGGGTAGTCCCAGAAGTACTTGACCTAACAAAGAAAGCACAAAAAATTTGGGAAAAAATATCTTTATTTCTCTACATAGTCTCCTCATAGCTCAATACACTTTTCCCAGCGATGTTCAATAGCTTCGATACCCTGTTTATAGTGAGAATCGTCGAGCTCCTCAAAATAGCCATCAAGCCACCTTGGTCCATTGTTTTGACTGTTCCTTCGTCTCAGGTGTGAAGTGATGAACCCATGTTTCATCCATGGTTATGAATCGACGCAGAAACTCGGTTTTATTGCTGCGAAACTTCGCCAAACACTCGATCGAAACATCCTCACGACGCTGTTTTTGTTCCAATCGCGGCACCCATCTTGCGCACAGCTTTCTCATGTCCAAATTTTCAGTCAATATGCGATGACTTTTTAAAATGCTTATTATGTCTGCTAACTCGCGCACTTTCAGTCGACGGTCATCCAATACCATTTTGTGGATTTTCTTCACCATTTCTGGCGTGGTCACCTCATTTGGTCGACCATGTCGCGACCGCGATATTCGTCTTGGCAGCTCGTACGGCCTCGTTTAAACTCTGCCACCCAATATTTTACTGTTGCAAACGAAGGAGCAGACTCCCCCAGAGTAGAATCTAGCTTCGCTTTGATATTGGTTGGACTGAGGCCTTTCAAATGATTGAAAGATGAATGAAAGTATTGTATCGCACAACGATGACCAATTTTTTCCATGTGTACAAATTCACTGAGAGCGTTCACTATTGATGGCTGCCAAACAAATACTAAACAACGTAGCGTCGTCAAACTTCAAACTTAAGCTTTAGCAAGGTTGGTACTTTCTACCATAGTCATTCTTTTCAAACAACAACCGCTATCTATATGTCAGGTCAGGTATTTTTGGGACTACCCTCGTAGTGCATTGAACGTGCATGTGTCTCTATAAAAACAGTTCGACTAGAGCAAAAACTAAATGAAACGGCTGTTGATAAGTTTCTGGATACTGAAGGTTTACTTTATGGACCAAAAATCGATGATTCCGTTTAAGATAAAAAATTTTGTCGTTCACTCACTTAAAGCTTACTTGAAACTTTAGACGCATTTTTCTCAAAAACATGTTTTGAAAATTGGTACCAAGGATTTCTCAAAACCTACTGAACCGACGTCCATGAGGTTTAACATGTCTATTAGTATTCAGCATATTAAAACATAGATAGCATCGTAAGGGTTTTTTCGTTTATGCCTTTGTTCGCCTGTAATTGTAATATTAATATTGTAGAAAAGTAGACTTTAAAATTCAAGTATGTACCATTTTGTTCAGAAGCAAAATTTTTGAAAACGGCTACGATGCTACCTGCGTTTTTTAATATACTTTAAGAAGATGTATGACTCTTTCTGCATTCCGATATGTTTTATAACTGTTTTCTCTGGTATCGATTTTCAGATCGACGCATGAAGCCTACAATTCCAGCTCTTATATTTTGAAAGCCATTTTGAAAGATTATAAAGCGTAACAAATTTGAAAATAATCTATAATGTTGATATATTTTAATAAAAAAAAAAAACCAAGTTAAAAGGACTTCATGTTTACGAAAGAAAAATTGTGAAAAATAGATTTTTTTTCCAGGGCCAGAGTATATGCAGCCCCTTAACCCCTTTAACGCTCGACTTTTTTATAAGTGTTTTATGAATAAAATTAGAGTTTTTTTGAATTGAGACTATAAGTAGTGATAACCAAAAAAAATATTAGAATTTTATATTGGTTTTTTTATCGTTCGTTTTTTGTTTATTGGTAAATATGACTTGGATCCTAGAAGCATATACGAAATGAGCAACCTATACAGAGAAGAATGAAGGGTAATCTATACGACATAACTCTGATAGTCAGCTTGACATTTTTGAGCTGAAACTTTACTATATTTGTGAGTGAAGTTTATCATTCAGAGCGTCAAGCTTACTATTTCAGAAGAATATCACTTATAGATCACCATTTAGATAGTCAATCGTCCCTTCATTTTTCGCCGCATAAAAAGGGCTGTAGGTCACCAGGCTTCACAAAAAATAGGTTGATTTCTTGATTTTCGTGTCCACCATATTGGATTCGCCATTTTGAATTTCTGTATTCTTTTAATTTCACATTTTGCATCTGAGAAAGCTTCCAAAGGTATACAATTATAACGGATACTAATCTATCCATTTATAGTGCACTTCTAGATGTCAGTAACAATGCTAACTATGCCTACTTGGGATTCGGCGAAACATGTTATCATTAAAACTGAGCTGAAAACAGACTAAACCGAATCTATATATACAATCTATATACCACTTTTTAGAAGAAGAATTCACTTTTGTGGTGCAAAGAAAACGAAAATATCTCCTTTTTTAACCAAGTTGTGAATTCTTAAATGCGTTTCTGGTAACTATAGTTACCAGTAGGCGTTAAAGGGTTAAATGTCGAAACATCGGCCTACGAGCGCTGCCCTTGGTATCCACCATGAGTGACACTTTGTACGAGTGCGAATCCCAGTTTCTCACTTCTTTCCCCAAGACGACACAGAAAAGAACACACACCCACACCCACACACACACACACACATACACACGGTAATATCCCTTCGCTGCGGTAATAGCCGATTCAGTCGAGGGAGCATCAGTCTCGCGCGCTCGACTCGAGAGAAAGAGAGAGACACAGCGACGCGCGCGCATCCCTTTTCTCCATTCTTCCAGCGTGTCGACGCACGTGTGGGGAACGCGCGGGCCCGCGTATATAGACGCGTAGCGCAATAATTCATCGGGAAGCTCTTTCTGCGTGGAAGCCGAAGGCCGCCGCGCCGGTGGCACGCGGGCCTTGCGCTCGCGACCACCTCGATATGCTTCGCGATGCGATATCGAGATGGCTAAAGACACGCATGGTACTATACGTATGGCCTGCCAATGCTCCCTCCGTCAATGGCGTAACGGATGCGCAAGGAGGAGAGAGAGAGAGAGAGAGAGAGAGAGAGAGAGAGAGAGAGAGAGAGAGAGAGAGAGAGAGAGAGAGAGAGAGAGAGAGAGAGAGAGAGAGAGCGAACCTAGTGCTTTTCATACAATTAACGCTCGCGATTACGCGGCGACCGGCCGCGGCACATGGATTTATTGAGCCGTCCGTTCGCACCGGCGAGAATAATTGACGCGTTATTAAAGAGCGATTGATCCCGCGCTCGCGCCGCTTGAGTAACACTTGTGGAAACTACGGAAAGAGCGGCGATACCGGCGGGTAATTGAAGAACCGGCCGCGAGCGCGGCGATGGAGGCGCTCGTGGGTAGAACTGAAGTCCGTGTTAAGTCTCGGGGTGGGGCGGAGGGGCGGGGGGAAGAAGGAGGTACATTAGGAATGGAGGATGCCTAATAATTGGCTATTAGGAATTCTCGCGATGCATGATTCTCTCGTGATTTCTCGCCGAAGAGCGAAAACGTAAGGAAAGCTGAAGTCGGCGAGTCCGCGCGCGACTCTTCGGCGGGTCTCCGCGCTCGGGAAGAAGTTACACTGAAGGACATAGCGGACGCGAATTATCCAGCTTCGCTAGGCAGCTGCCAATGTTCAATCCGCCGTCGCAGTCTCCGATGTCCGATGCCCGGTTAGGAGAAACCGACGCGCTACCGGGCGCTGAAAACAATAACGAGACGCCAGCGCGCGCCGGAGAAGCGGAATAGAAATGATTTTCCTCGGATTTCTAAGCGTCGCGAGACGCTTCGCGCATGTCGCGCATCCCCGACGTCGGGACGTAGACGTCACTCACGTGGTGTTTTGTCCCGTTGCGCTAATCCGCGATCTTTGCGAGCTCGGGGCCGGGTCCATCTCGATCGGCTTCAAGCGCGCGCGACGAGTACTCGCGCTTTAAAAAGAGCTTTGCCTACGCCTCTGAACCTCTCCCGCGTCCTTGCGGTTGGAATTACGCACGCGTTCCCCCGCCACCACCCCGCCTCATGGACAGGTACGCAAGTATTTAGATTTTTTTCTCCTACCCTTAGGATCTATGATCGTAAAGTGCGGTTTTAGAGCGAGCACACGCACGTTACCGTGAAATACTTACTTAATGCTGTTCCCGTGAGCGCACCTCGTAAAAGTGTAGCGCGCTCTACAAAGTGAAGAGTAATCGCCGCGCGTAATCTCTCTACCTCTCTCGAGGACTTTCGACTAATCCGACACGCCGTGCCGTTAATTACAGCTTCCCTTTCTGCTCTTCCTTCGCAGTCGCATGCATACGTAATAATTAGCGGCGATCGCACCGTATCATGCGACGATCGATCGATCGATCGATCTCGCGCGAAGAGGAGAGCCGAGGGACTAACAGCGCCGAGTCTCGTCGTCGGTTACATTCGAGTTGAAACCTTTGCGGGTTATTTCACGAAGGTGGTTTCCTAACTGTCGCTCACCTCCGCTGCTTCTTTCTCTTTCTTTCTTTCTCCCGTCTCCCCCTCTCTCCTTTCTTTCCTTTTTGCTTTTCGCGGAAAATCTAAGCGAGAACGTCACGCCGGCAAACGCTTCGTATCTCGCGGGCGGATCTCAGAGGACAAACGTGCACTTTGCATTGACGACACGTTTCTTTGGTAATACACAGTACTACCATGTTAGCCTCGCCTTATTGGATATGCGTGTGACGTCAGGGATGCGTCAGCGCGTAAAAGCGAACAGCGACGAAAAGTCGTCCGTGACATTTCACGCACTTTGTCTAGAGAACAGAATGAACTCCGGGAGAGAGAGAGAGAGAGAGAGAGAGAGAGAGGGAGAGAGAGAGAGAGAGAGAGAGAGAGAGGGAGAGGGGAGAGAGAGAGAGAGAGAGAGAGAGAGAGAGAGAGAGAGAGAGAGAGGGAGAGAGAGAGAGGGAGAGAGAGAGAGAGAGAGAGAGAGAGAGAGAGAGAGAGAGAGAGAGAGAGAGAGAGAGAGAGAGAGAGAGAGAGAGAGAGAGAGAGAGAGAGAGAGGGCGGTGAGGAGGGAGGCGAAGGGGCAGGATTGATAGCAAGCCCGATGAGGAATAGCGTAATTATCCTTGACGGTAATGACCCGTTGAATCGTACCTTAATATGGTAATTTCGACTTCTCTGTGTATGTATTCGCACGTTCCTACGACCCCTCAAAGGATTATCAATCAATCTCGCGGAGTCTCACCGTACACGTGAACACAAACTGAAACAATCGGATCACGACCGGATTTTTCATCTTGCTTCTTTCTCTCGTGATTTCGCACTGGAGCGCGAGGAGTGCTCTCTCGGCGCGCGCGCGCGCGCGCACGAGCGCGGCGTCGGAGAGTCTGCTGAATTAAATCCGTCTTCGACGGATTATTTACAAAGCTCGGCGGGGCTCCCTCGAGACGAGCACGCACGCAGCCACGCGACGTCTGATTCGTAATGGAAACGCGCGCGCGCGCGCGGTCGATCACAGATCTCGCGCGTAGAATTCAATCGACGTTAATCAACATCGGCGTGCGGCGAAGCTCGCGTATATATAAAAAATAAGACGGGTGGGAGACGTTTGAATCGCCGTGCGGCGCGCCCAAGTGACTTGAACGCGCGCGAGAAAAAGCAGCCGCACGGGCTGCACGCACGGAACGCGACCGACAAGCAGGCGCGGACGCGCGCGACACACGTGACCTCGCCAAGGACGCCGCCATTTTGCTTGAAAACGCGGAGCGGGCTCGTTCGAGCGGACTGACGGATCCATTTTAGGACCGCGCGCGACACCGTTACCGTCTGTCAACGGGCCACCGGGATACCTTGGGGCTTTCACGCCAAATAAGCTTGACGTTCGTTCGCACTCGTTCGCTCGCCGTCGATCGTTATCGACGACACCGGCGTGCACCGCGCGAGAAACTGGCGCGCGGCGCGTCGGCAGATCGATCGATCGATCGATCGAGCGAGCGAGCGAGCGAGCGAGCGAACGTCCCTATCGGATGGAAACGCGCCTCCCACACCGCAACATTTGCACTGGGAAGATTCTCATCGCGCTCCTGCCGCACGGCTCTCGTTATGTAAGAGGCTGACAATGCCACTCGCGTAATATCCTCGAGGAAAAGCGGCTCGCCGATGCGTCGGCAGCGATCCGCTCTCGGTAACGCGCGCGTGCACGTTCGCTGCCGTGATCGGCGCACGGGAGGCCCCGTGAAATTCCGCCAGAGAGATGGGGAAAGAGGAGAGTATATCTGAGAGAGTTAGAGAGTGAGAGAGAGAGAGAGAGAGAGAGAGAGAGAGAGAGAGAGAGAGAGAGAGAGGAAGAGAGAGAGAGACAGACGGTGTTTACGCTCACCTACCGCACCTCGTGCGATCCAGCGAATCGTTATCCCTTCGCGAATCCCTTCTCGCAAGTGCTCGTAGATAAATCTCGACGGGTGACGATGAAGACGAAGACGAAGACGAAGACGAAGACGACGACGACGACGACGACGACGACGTTGACGAATCCCCGCGGAGAATCGATCCGCGACGTTCGAGCGGGAGACGACGCGCGACGAATCAATCGGAGCTGGTCGCGTGGACGACTCGTGGACGACGACGTGCGACGTGCGATGCGCCGCGAGCGCGAGTGAGCGTGTTGCTCGACGCGCGAAACGAAAGTACTCGACGAGACTCGCGCCGCATGCTTTCGCGCCAGTGCTCGCGATACTGTCCGGCCGTCGAGTACTTTCTGACGGATCCACCGGCCACTCAGGATCGAGTCTAGCCGACACGGCGCCCCGGTGTGCGTGCACGCGCACGCCGCGCTAGCCTGTGCCGTGTCGTGCCGTGCCGTGCGGCTGCCCGCGCCTGACGTCATGTCCTGGAACGGATTTTAAACGGTTTCCAAGTTCCACACAACCCCACCGAAAAGACGGAGAAAGAGATGTAGATGGAAACTGAAGATGCCTCGTGCTACATAGGTAGGCGGATCAATGCGTCATTTGTGTTGACCGCGATCAATATAATTCTTTCAGTTAAGATTCTATTGAAAGAGAGAGAGAGAGAGAGAGAGAGAGAGAGAGAGAGAGAGAGAGAGAGAGAGAGAGAGAGAGAGAGAGAAATTCAACTCCGTGGAACGTGGCTCCCTTCGGACATACAACGATAGAATTATATTGTATTCTTATGTTATAAAATAAGGAAGCTGGTAAAAGTTATGCTCAGAAAAGAAGAGAGAGAGAGAGAGAGAGAGAGAGAGAGAGAGAGAGAGAGAGAGAGAGAGAGAGAGAGAGAGAGAGAGAGAGAGAAAAGCATTATTTACTGAGCGCTGTGGGACAGAGTACCCTCAAGCGCGAGGAAGTCAAAAATGATACAAAGAATTTTTGAGTTTTACATCAGCTGAAAGAATACGCAAGATCAGTATAAACAAGTAATGGAACAATACAAAAAATAGTAGTATAGACAATGATAGATTAATATAAAATAATAGTAATAGTTAGGCAGTCAGGGAGTGAAGACGGTTGCCAGTACTGTATTTCATACGACTAAAGCAGGCTCGTATTGAGCCTCTCGACGAGGTGTTCGTATAGTGCGTTTTTGAACGACTGTATCGAGTCTCAACTTCTGATGGTTCCAGGCAAACTATTTCAGAGGGAGGCGGCCACGACTCTAAAAGAGCGTTTGAACATTTCTGTTCTGCACTGCGGGATTTGTAGTAAATCCGGTGCAGCTCTAGTGCTTTTGTTCGTAACATCAGCTTGTGAGATGATTTCTTTGTATAGTTTTTGAGGATGTTGAAGGTCGATTAAATTATAATATAGAGAGATTATATATATATATATATACATATATATATATATATATATATATATATATAGAGAGAGAGAGAGAGAGAGAGAGTGTGTGAGAGAGAGAGAGAGAGAGAGAGAGAGAGAGAGAGAGAGAGAGAGAGAGAGAGAGAGAGAGAGAGAGAGAGAGAGAGAGAGAAAGAGAGAGAGAGGAAAGAATTTATACGAAATCGACGAGCCGAGTAGTTTCTTCCTCTCTGTGAGGCTGACCAAAGAGAGGCGGCTCCAGGTGGTTCACGCGCCAAGTGGATCGCATTTGCAAAACAGGTGAATTGTAGCTTTGCGGTCTCTTTCCTCACTCTTTTCTCCCGCGATTTTGCTTCGAGATCCCAAGTCCACACTAGGAACCGGCTCATATGTATTTCGCGCAGAGTACACGGGAGAGAAGACAGGAATGCGAGAATGTCATTGACTACTACCGTTAATTGGCGGCAAGGCGGTCGCGAATTGAATCACTCGCTCGGGACTGTCGCGCGTCTTGCGCGAGGAATGCTCCAGGACGTCGCATTGGGAATAAATCGCGCATTGGGTGGCAGCAAGTTATTCGTATTACTTGCGTATGACTCGTCTGAAAGTGCTCCGATACGTACGAAGAAGAAGCGTCGGTTACTGTTCGCGCTCGATTCTTTTTCTCTCTCCTCGTTTCAACGGCTCTCGCCGAGAGCGCTTATTCGAGTTCGATTCAATTAAGCGTCCGCAAACACACGGAGCGAGTTTCTTTTTTCGCAGGCTCGACTAGCCTCTCGCCGCTTCACGCCGCGATGTGGACCGCCCGCGCTGAAGCGAGTGCTGAGGAAAAGGTGAGGATCGACGGGGCCGAGCGGAGGTGTCGAGCCTCTGTCAACACAGGTACGTACGCGACACCGAGCACACGCCCGAACGGACAAACAAGATCAAGTGTCTCTGCTCGTCCCCGATGACGAATACCCAATGGCTGCATTCAGCAGAACAAAGTGATCAGTGAGCGCTTAGTGATTCTCGCTCCTGATTGGTAAATACTTCTGAGTCTATGAAGAATCTAAAAGAATGCTCCAATCACAGACAATAATCACTAAGCGCTCACTGATCATTTTGTTCTACTGAACGCAGCTAATGAGAGAATACGCCGCCGCGGCAGACGTGGACATTAACGTCTCATTGATCCATAAGAGACCGCCGATGCGCTCGGCGACTCCTCGGCGACTCCTCGGCGACGCACAGTCGGCCCGTTTTGTGGACAAAAATCTGCCGACAGTCCAATTCTTAACCGATTTCAATTTTGTTTTTTTAATTTGTTGGGGATAAAATAGGCTATAAGTGGTTTGTGCGTAAATTTTGATTACGCTCCAAATAAAAAATGGCGGGTTCGATAAAGTGGGCATAAAATATCACCAGTGTACGATTGCGATTAATTCGTAACAAAACGTAAATATATTTTTGTAAAAATGGTATTGTGAATTTTTATAGTTAATAAGTAATGAATTTGCAGTTTAAATAAAAAAAATGGCGGATCGAAAAAATGACGGGAAGCGCCCAAATTCCACTGAAAATCCACTTTTCATAGGTTTTCGAAATCGCTGACTACGAGAATCATTTTTTACTTAACCGTAGTATCAATAGGCGCAAAGCTGCCGAAAATTATATTAATAGGTGCAACGTAGCCGGAGATGATAATAGGTGCAACGCAGCCAAGATTTTAATTACAGGATAGGATGAGGAAAGTAAAAGGAGAATAGGTTGAATACAACTCGTAACAGCACTGCACATCCAGAATGATACCAACACTGAGCAGCAACAACGTTCGTCGAGCTTGCGAACAGCTTGCAAAGAGGTTAAGAAACAACGGAAGTTAAGAAACAACGGAGGTTAAGAAACAACGAAGGTTAAGTAACAAATAGGCCCGAATGCATGTGTCTGTGGTGGCGCCATTAATTACTTATTTGCGCCTATTGATATTACCTTCGGCTGTTTGTGCCTATTGATAAAAAATATAAAAAATAAAAAACATTTAACAATACATATAACAATAAAAGTTAAAAAGTATATATATATATATATTTATGAAAAAAGGAAAAAATAAATAGTAAGTAACAAAAAAATTAACAAAATAAACAAAAAATAAAAGAATAAATATATAACAAAAAATATATAACGGGAAAAAATGATTCTCGTAATCAGCGATTTCGAAAACCCATTAAAAGTGGATTTTCAATTTGGGCGCTTCCCGTTATTTTCGATCCGCCATTTTTTTTATTTAAACTGCAAATTCGTTACTTATTAACTAATTACTATAGAACTTATTCTTACTTACTTATTAACTATTAGTTAATAAGTTACTTATTAATAAGTTACTATAATAACTAATACTAATAAGTTACTTATTAACTATAGAAATTCATAATACCATTTTTACAAAAATATACTTACGTTTTGTTACGAATTAATCGCAATCGTACACTGGTGATATTTTATGCCCACTTTATCGTATCCGCCATTTTTAATTTGGAGCGTAATCAAAATTTACGCACAAATTATTTAGAGCCTATTCCATCCCCAAAAAATTAAAAAAAAAAATTAAAATCGGTTAAGAATTGGATTGTTGGGCAGATTTTTGTCCATAAAACGGGCTTTTTCCCCCACTGTGCGACGCGGAGTCTTTCTCGCCGCAGAATATTTCCGCCAATTTTCTCTTGCCTTTTATCATCCTCAAGACGTCGTCCGAGTGTTAATAGCGCGCGAAGTGCTTTATCTTCGCGTGACTCGTGCGATGTGCAAATGATGCAAGAAAGTCTGTAAAGTAAGAGCGTGTACGGGTTAATGTGTAGAAAAATTTATTTTTAATGATTTTTAAGTACATGGATTTGTTGCACTCCATGAGAAGAAAAACGCTATACCATTAATAATGAGTCCAGTCACCACCGGCATTGATAATTGCCTGGCATCTCCGAGGCTACTTTCCACTACAGTCTGTAAAGTAAGAGCGTGTACGGGTTAATGTGTAGAAAAATTTATTTTTAACGATTTTTAAGTACATGGATTTGTTGTACTCCATGAGAAGAAAAACGCTATACTATTAATAATGAGTCCAGTCACCACCAGCATTGATAATTGCCTGGCATCTCCGAGGCTACTTTCCACTAGTCTGTAAAGTAAGAGCGTGTACGGGTTAATGTGTAGAAAAATTTACTTTTATATGATTTTTAAGTACATGGATTTGTTGTACTCCATGAGAAGAAAAACGCTATACCATTAATAATGAGTCCAGTCACCACCGGCATTGATAATTGCCTGGCATCTCTGAAGCATACTTTCCACTAAGTTGACTGCGTATTCATTCGATAAAGACCTCCAAATGAGACGAATTTGTCATGTCAGCTGCTTCAAAGTGCACACTCTTTTTCCTCGAAGCTTATGCTTGAGATATGCCTCACAATACGGCTAAAAGAAAACTAGGACGATATTTTAAGCCAACTGCCACTTATGCCGTACACGCTCTTACTTTACAGAAGACTTACTTTTCAAGAACCGCCAGATTTGCGTAAAAGTAGCGCAGTCTCGAAAAAGTTTCCTTTCAACTGGAACATGCGGCTTCTCCTGTCGGAAGGAGAAGAAGAAGGAGGAGAAGAAGACGGAGCCATACGCGATAAGTAGACACTGTTGTTCGTTCGTCCCGTTCGGCGTGTGCGTCTTCAGGAGCCCCATTCCCAACGCTCGAGGTCGTTAATATGCAAATGCTCGGCGCGCGGTGTTCCAGCCGAATGCCTTATACCGTGCGCACGGATTCGGCATGTAAAGTGATTCATCCGCGGGCATAATCAAAATACATCGCCTTCGGGTTAACCGGCGTCCCGCCGCGCGCTCTCGAGCGCCGCGCGGCCGCAACAAGGTCGGCCGAAAAAGGCGA